GAGTTGGGACTGGCCTGGGGGCTGGTTCTAGTACCCCACCCACAGTCAAGATACCAGATGCTCTGAGGCAAGTTTCCTGTGTGCCTGGGCCACAGTTCCCTCTTCTGATACAGGGACTGTGCCAAGCTCACAGGAAAGCCGAAACAATGAAAGGAGAATAGATAGGAACCGCTTTTTTTTTTTTTTTTTTTTTTTGGTATTTTTGGGGTTTTTTGGAGGCCTAATTCAAGATATCACGTGTTATGTTTTTGCCAAGATGGTCATAATAATCCCTCCCATCGCTGTAGACATGTTCCTTTGCAACACGACTTTTCAAGAGGTGGAGTCTATTACCCCATCCCATGAACCTGGGCTGGCCTTGTAAGTTGCTTTGAATAATAGAAATCAGTGAAAGTGACGTTGTGTGACTTTAGAGTCTAGGCCTCAAGTGGCCTATGGTTTCCACTCTCACACTCTTAGAAAGTGACCGCCATGAAAAGAAATCCAGGTTTAGAGATGTGCCCGGCCAACAGCCAGTGCCAACTACTAGACATGTGGGTAAGGCCATCTTAGACAAACCAGCCCCAGTTGAGTCGCCAGATGACAGCAGCTGCATGGGTAAGCCCAAGTGAGACTGGCAAAAGACCTACCTAACTAAGCCCTGCCCCAATTTCTGATGCTCAGAATTGCAAACAAATAAAGTAGTGTTGTTTTAATCTACTATGTTTTGGAGATGATTTGTTATGCAGCAATAGCTATCTGATACACAATACAGACAGCAACACTACCTACCCCAGGAACTAGGCATTCTTCTTTTTGTGACTCCCCTTTCCTGGGATGCTTCTAATTCAATCACCGGTTGCTAAAAACAGCCCTGATTGCATGTATGTGCCAGACACAGAGCAAAATAAAACACAATCAACCCCAGCCACAGTCAGCAAGACAGAATTTCCAGGTGCTTCTGAAAGAAGAGACGGGAATGTGTAGGCCCCTTTGTCCAGGAAAAGGGGGCAGGTTCGAGGGCACCAAAAGCTGAAAACCCAGTGTCCTGCCTCCAGTGGGTTCCTGGTGGTTATTGAGGGCATTTAATTGCCAACCCTCTTTTAAAGCCTTACCCTTGGGGCTCCCCTGGTGTGATGGCTAATTTTATGTGTCACCTGGGCTAGGTGCCCAGTTGTTCCATCAAACACTAGTCTAGATGTTGCTGTAAAGGTATTTTGTAGATGTGATTAACATTACAGTCAGCTGGCTTTAAGTAAAGGAGATTACCCTCCATAACGTAGGTGGGCCTCATCCAATCAGTTGAACAACTTAAGAGCAAAAACTTAGGCTTCCAGCGTAAGAAGGAATTCTGCCTCAAAATGTAACATAGAAATCCTGCCTGAGTTTCCAGCCTGCTGGCCTGCCCTACACATCCCACACTTGCCAGCCCCCACGATATACAATTACATGAGATATTTCCTTAAAATATATATCTCCTATTCATTCTGTTTCTCTGGAGAATTCTGAGTTATACACCTGGTTTGAGGTCCCAATAGGAGAAGGGGACCAGCCCCCCAGGGAAAGACCGGCCCCTCCCCAGGGCATGGCAGGGAGTTCTAAGGCACATTGCCACTGGACAGAGCTGGGGCTGATGTCCAGCCATGGGGCACCTTTCCTGGCTCCAGTCACTCAGGAAAAACAGGGCTGAGGTGAGCACTTGAGGTCAGAAGCAAGTCAGTACTCCCATCCCTAGTCCCCAGGCTCTCAAGGAGGTGGGGAGGCCCAGAGTCGGCCCCAGTCTGAGGATGTCTCCTGCCTCTCCCACATGCCTCTCCAGCTCTGTCATCCTTGCCACACCCCTGCATCCAGAGGGACCTGGGCACCATCTCCACACCAGCCCCTCTGAGCCTCTGGCCCCCACCCCCTGCTGGCACCACTGGCAGCTTCAGAGCTGCCATTTCACCCCACAGCAGGTCCCACCTGCAGCCTGGGTTTCAGTCTGCGTGTCCACACACCCAATACAGGTACCCACACCC